AATTATAAATAGAAGGCTTTCCATTCTAATGTAGCAACTGATTGGCTATATTAAAAAACGTAAAAATCTATCTTGATTCCAAACTCAGAATTAGGACTCTTGTCTTCCATCCAATCAAGCATGCACTCTGGATCAAACTTATCTGTTTTTTTGGCAAAAATTCAGACACTTAGTAAGAAGTAAAACTACACTTCAGTTCCTAGGAAAATAAGAGTTACATGAAAGTTGCTTAGTTAAGGCAATATAACCAGTCAATCTAGGGAAAACATATTGCTCATTAAAAATGTTAATACTGGTTTCAAAAAGTGGGAATGGATGGAAAAACGGGAAAAAGAAAGAAGCAAACCAAAAAATCTATTAAAGACTGAAGAGAATACTGCTGCTAATTTGCTTGCCTTCTCTATCTCAATTTCACTTTCAATTTTCAAGACTTTTTTTACGTTAATCTTCTATTTATTTACCTCAACAGTTTTTATCAGTCATTAGTGTATTTCACATAACTTTCTTGCAGACATTTTAGCTTTAAGGATTACTTGAGTTTGGTTTATATTAGAAATATTTTAACATTTACAGGTACTTTCCAGAGAAAAAGAATAATGAAGTCATTGTTATCTGTCATCCAAAACTATATTTGTTCCCTTGGCTTTCATGAAAAACAATATTTTACTTCCTCTTGCAACATGCTAGAGATAGTCAGATGTACTTAAATACCAGTATCTAACAGATATTGACTTAACATGCTTCCAGCCAGAGTAAGAGACCCATAGCCCCAACCCCAGCCCTAAGTTGGCTGACTTACCATGTGCATGCACATGCCCCTGACCTGAGAAACGGCCTGGCAAGCCCACCCCTGGCAAAGCCTCACCACCACCATCGCAAACTCTCTCGGCCTAGGCTACCGAGACACTCATAAATGTCACTAGCATGGATTACAACTAAAGAAACTACATGGAGACTACATTACTGTTTCCATCTAGAACCAAAGCCAATATATCCCACCAAAACAACACCCTAAGACTAGTTCATATGAAAAAGTCTTTCCCTAGGAAACCTACTCCATAAAATTAGAAGAGGTAATTTTTCCACCAGATGTGTAGAAATCATTGTAGGAACACATCAAACATGAAAAAGCAAGGACACACCACACCGCCAAAGGAATAGAATAATTTTCTAGTAACAGGTATCAATCATAAAGAAATACACAAAATAACAGAAAAAAAGAATTCAAAATAATAATCTTAAGGAAACTCTGTGAGAAACGAGAGAATATAGATAGACAAGTCAACAAAATCAGGAAAACAATTCATGATTTGAATGAGAAATTCCATAGAAATGGATATCACAATAAAGAACCAAACAGAAATTTGACAGCTAAAGAATTCCATGAATGAAATAAAAAAATACAATCAAGAGCCTCAACAGTAGATCAGGCCAAGCAGAAGAAAGAATTTCTGAACTTAAAAGTCATTTGAAATAATAGAGACAGACCCCCCCATACCCCCAAAAAAGTAAGCCTACAGAATTTATGGAACACCATTAAGGGAACAAATAGTTGCATTATGGGTGCTAAATAATAAATTAATTAATAAAGAAGCAGTATCCAAATTATTAAGAGCACAGTCATATGTGTCAAACAGGCCTGGATTTGAGTTATAAATCTTCCAAATAATAGTTGCATGGCCTTGAAAGTGTGACTTAACCCTCATACACCTCAATTAACTTATTTATGACATACCAAACATAGTATCTGTCTCAATGGGTTGTTTTGTTGTTGTCGTTGTTTGTTTAAGTGACAAGATCTCACTGTGTCGCCCAGGCTGGAGTGCAGTGGCTATTCATAGGCAGGATCATGCTACATTACAACCTGGAATTCCTGGGCTCAAGCAATCCTCCTGCCTTTGCCGCCTAAATAGCTAGAACTATAGGTGTGTGCCACTGCTCCTGGCTTCAATGAGTTGTCTTAAAGATTAAAAGAAACTGCTCAGCAGACAGATTAGAACACTGTACACAATAAAATAGCTACTTTAAATGTTAGTAGTAATAGTTACAATAGTAATTCATAAAATAGTTTAACAGATAAAAAGATATAATTACTTCGTATTAACCAAAACCTAAGTACCCTTTCATCTCTCATAATATGAACTGAATAGGTAAAAGCACAGCAATTTCAGTATCCTGCCATCACTCTCAAAGTGACCCTGAAGAATTATTTTAACCACTCTGGGCTTATCTTTGTTTTCTCACTTAGAAAATGAGTAACTTAAATCTTTGTATTGATCTGAAGAATTCATTCAGCACTTTCGGGGAGAACTGCAAGGATGAAGGAATAGGAGTCCCTAGGTTACAGCTAATAGGAGCCACTATTCTAGGTTCTCTTAGCATGGATCCTGTTTGCAGGAAGCAATTCTGTGAGTGCCTTAAGTGTCCAAAAATGAACCACATTAGTTCAAATTGAACCAAATTCAATAAAAAAAATAGCTCACTATTTACCTGAACATTCTACGTAATAATGAGTCTTTTCCTTTCCCTTTTCCATACAAACCATAGGAAAAGTATATCAAGTTCATTTTGAACGTATTTCTATTGTATACTCATATTAAAGTATGACATACCACAAGGAGTACGATACAAACTTGTCCCAAGCCCGCTAGGTGGAGAATTACTCTAGGCTTAAATTGAGCCATTGTATCCTTTTCCTAGTTATACTTGTTTTTCAAAAATCTGTACACAGTTTCCATTAATAGAAACACTCTGAAAAGGAGGAAAATATTCCAAGAAATATTACAAAATAATCTCAAATATTTCAACACTATTCTGAACTACTGTCAAATCACAGTGAACCAGGGATTCTTCTTTTATCAGAAGTAAGTCACTTTCTAAATACTTTCAACTAAATTTTAGCTTGAGAAGATCGTGCAATAGCTCCTAATTGATACTACACCAAGACCCCCGACTTCTATAGGGTCTACTTCTATCAGCTAATAATAAAAGCCAGATTGAAAGGTTTTAAAAAATCATATAAGAGAAACAAGAAATCTGTGAAAGATAATTAATGGCCCAGTATGTTTAAAATAATGCTGTTTTATGACCTTACTAGAAAAGAAGAATGCAAAATAATATTATACAGACCAAAAAGAATATATTCTTAATATTTTAAAATACTGATGGGCCATATAACATGTACACAGGTCTCTGAAAGTTAGTAATTCTGCTTTAAACAAGTACAACTTCAAAGTTAAAACAATAATCTGCTCTAATGGTTAAAATCAAAGTATTTTTTTCTTTGGTCTATGAATAATATGTATTCCCAGAGATTGCATGTTATATACTCTTCTACACAAAAACTACTCAACATTTACTTAGTGTGTCCCTTTCTCGAGTGCTAATTTCAGGAACCACAGACATCATTTAACTACAGAAAGTAATGATTATTCTTCTGTCATATACAGTATCACTGCATAGGATGCAATAACTGTATATTTAATATCAACTAAAGTAATTGAGAGCATATCCATATTATGAGGTCTTGTTTGATGATATATGTCAGTACAATCGCCTAAGAGATATGAGTAGTCATATGTATACTCAGTAGCATTAAATAAACAGATTCATGCCTGTGTATCAAGATCAATTCTGTCAGAAATGATCACTCTGCAGTTTCATGTCTCCTTGAGGGGCAGCCAACAATCTCAAGGGAGTTACCAAATTCTAACTAAGGTCTAGGATGAAGACTAGTCTGAAGAACATTAAAATAATGGTGTGGTCATTGAAGACAAAATACTCTCATGAGTACTTTTTCATCATTGCACAATTCAGCCCTATAATGGGGCCATGAAGGAAAGCAAAAGAGGTCAGGATTATTTCCAAAACCATATAAATAGGTGATGGTTTACATTTATTAAGGGCTGACTATTTATGTGACACGTTGTTGCAAGGATTGTCTCATTCTATCTTCCCCCAAACTCCCTATGAAGTGGATAGTATTATCCTTACAATTTACAAATGAGGCAACTGAAGCTTGGAAGTTAAGCAATCTGTCCAAAGTTGATGGAACCTACAAAATGGCAGTTGGGATTTGAACCAAGCAACCAGAGCCTGAACACCACTTGCAACATAAGTCTCCCAAGAGGAAAGGGATATGGAACACTAAGACAACAACACAGCTCATTATTATATGTATTTAGACATCCATATCAAGTCAAATACTGCCCTACAATATTTTGGTACTCTTAACACCTTAAGAAGAAATTTTTTGTTTTCCTCATTCCCTGTAGAAAATCAGTAACTTAGTGTTTGGGAAAAAAACAAGCTGACCAGATAGAAAAGAAGTTATACCTCTTTCATCCAGGAAACTACAAGATATATTTTATAAAATAATTATTGCAGCTGTGTCAGTACTTCTTTCTACCTCACAAAAAGCTTAGTCATATGAACATGACTACTGTTTTTTACTAGCCATCCCCAATCCTCACTTCCATCCTACCCTTCACGCCTCATATCTGTATATACCTCAAGACAGAGATTATTATTTCCCAGTAAAATGAGAACCTCTTAACAAATCCATATGTATTACCTATAAGCAGGTAAACCTCACTTTGGGCACATAAAAGTTATAAAGTGACTTCAAGGTCTCAGAAGTAGGTCGTTTCCCTAATATAGTTTAAAAAAGGAAAGCTTCAATATTCTATCAGTGACTGACTTTCTCTTGCATGTGAATTCTGTGCCCATCATTAATTGAAGGGTCTTCTTTTATTTTCTCAAGATTCTGCCTTTTGTGGGCACCACTTTCCGGGATGATGATGGCATCCTAATTTTCTTTTGCTGAGAAAAGGAATTTTAAAACATTAGTTTTAGGCTCAACTTCAAAACAAGATCATAGTGACTGAAGACCTCCAAGATCCATATATCATCCAATTATGTTTCAGAACAAGGATCCCTGAAGAAAAAGACAAAAGAAAAAAAGAAAAACAGAAAAGAAAACAAGTAAAATTCCATCTTACCTTATCACCTTGCATACCAGGGGGGCCCATTAATCCAGAAAGGCCTTGATCACCCTATAAACAAAACACAGAAGTTTAATGTCATGAAAGAGAATTGAAAATTAGAATTCTCTTGAAAATTAAAGCTCCCTTTAATCTTAGACATCAGCTCTTATTACAATCATTTCCAATCTTCACAATCTTTGAGCCCGTTTCTGAGGCTTCCCGCCCTTCCTTATCTCTTCCAGGGCTTAATAACTGGACTGTATTTCCCCACCTCCACATCCTTGCTCTGTTTTCTCTGTTCTTTTCTGTAATAAGGCTCTTGCTATCAAACTTCGCCTCAGTCCAAGGTCTATCGTGTTTTAAAAATTGAAAGTAGGGCTGGGCACGGTGGCTCATGCCTGTAATCCTAGCACTTTGGGAGGCCGAGACAGGTGGATTACTTGAGGCCAGGAGTTCAAAACCAGTCTGGCCAACATGGTGAAATCCGTCTCTACTAAAAATACAAAAAAACTAGCTGGACATGGTGGCGGGCACCTGTAATCCCAGCTACTCAGGAGGCTGAGGCAGGAGAATCACTTGAACCCATGAGGCGGAGGTTGCAGTGAACCAACATCGCGCCACTGCACTCCAGCCTGGGCAACAAGAGTGAAACTCTGACTCTGTCTCAGAAAATAAAAAAAAAAAAGAAAAGAAAATTGAAAGTAGTTTCCCTAAAAAATCTACAAGTGCATTGTGAAGCAGCTGTTGAGGTGTCACCCCTACTCCGTTTCTGTGAGGACCTGCAGCCTGGTAGGATTCCCAGAGAGAATCTCACCGGCTGTGGTGGGACCAGCTAGGGTCACGTGACGCACAGGAGGCACTTCCGCTTCCGGAACTGAGCCGGTGCCTTCCATCCTGCGTGCCAGCTCCACAGAACGTCCCTCACCCCGGAGTAATGAGAGAAAATTGATTGGTAAGTCCATCATGTGCTTGGCTCGAATAGACTAGGCGTTACCGATTAGCACTACCTTTTTTACATTTATTACTCTGATAGAAGGAAGAGAAAACTGCACGAGGAAAGAGGAGACAAGAGGCTGGTCCTCTTACAATAGCTTTAGTCATGAAGGAATCATTTAATTTCTCCTCAAATTCCTCCATCTGGAAAATGAGGTTGATAATGATGATGGTGATGATGATGATTTCGATGTCATCTCACCTGTCTCATGGGAAAGGAAAAACTTACACCATTTAAAAACTATCTATGCATGCTCTTTTTAAGCCCCAAAATGGCTTAAATCTTTGTGTATGGTCTATTACAGATGTTACTTAGTGGATATTACATGGTGAAGTACTGAATCCTGGATTTCTTTTTCTCTTTCACCATTGACTATATATTTATTGTTAAAAATGGCTAAATGGTTAAAATAAAATTGTTTGCCAATCCCCTTCTACTTCCACCAAGTTAATGTTTGTATTTTATTTGTATTCAGATTTATGTGTATAACCAGTTTCCTGTTTCCTCAGTATATTTGAATCCAATTTAATGTAAGTACAATTTCTAAAGATCATTTTTAAATTTTACCATTTTAGGAATACCTCTATTAATTTTAAAAGTTGGATTTTACTAACGCTCTATGGCAACATACTATTAAATTTTATATCTTACTATGTTTCTGTTACAGTTTTAACCACAGTTAGTATACAAGTAACTCAAAAAGTAAAAAAAGACTAACATGCTTCCAAGTCTGAACTCCCATATTGAATCACCCTATATTTTGCTCAGAGAAGCCACAGGGAAAGATAAAACCAAGCATTTGATATAAATATGAATGTTTAATCTAGGGGTTTTACTTGAAATAGTCACCAAAACTGAGTGGGCCTCTAATTTCTAAATTTTAAGTTAAGAAATCAAATGTATTATATTTAGATATTTTTAAATATGGCACCTGTGTTTCTCAAATTGCAGAATTTTGTCCTTGCAATAATTAAGACAGTAATGAAAGTACTATGTTTATACTAATAATCTTCTGACTCAGCGAACTCAGTTCCACCACAATAATAAAATTACTAAAATTTTAGATTTAAAAAATGTTGAGTATGTACTCCCAAAATATGTGTAACTATTGCATAAAAGTAAAAATTTTAAAAGCAAAATAAAATAATTTTTTGATGATTTACTATTTCATATAGTATCTGTAGAGTAATTATGTGATTTTTTAAAGTTTATAATTGTTTCTGTAAGCCAATAAAAAGATTTCAAACTTTATGATAGTTTCTGTAAGCCATAAGATCAGATCAGTTTTGGAACCACCAAAATTGTTCAGGGATTTTTAAAGTTTGTGAATGTATACTACATAAACAAACACATCCTATAATTATATTACATTTATAAAGTGCCTGTCTAAACCAAACTTCCCAGATGTCCTCCTAAGACTCCATTTGTATTTATCCTCACTAGAAAACAGTATTCTTCTCCCGATAAAGTTTTTGTAGTTATCTTTGCTTTAAAACTAGTTTTTACTTAAATATGTATATGTTTGTATTGACAGCATTGTGATGAAATGAAAAGCATACTGGATGAGAAGTCTAAAAATTTGGATATATCATCAACTCTGCCATTTACTTTCCATGTGATAAGTCCGTTACAATCTATGAATTCTGTTTTCTTAATGGGAAAACAAGATAATGATGAGTGCTTCTCTCACAGAGAGTTACCTTGGTAATTAAACATCATAAAGTATGTGAAACTATTCTAAAAAGATGTAAATTGGCATTACAATTTATATATTATTGTGTGCATATGTATTAATAGAAAAATCTTTGCAATTAGGACCACATCCTGTTCTAATTTTTTACCCCATCCACTCCCCATTGGCAGATAGTACAGTGGCAGGCCACTGTAGACATTTAATAAAAGTAATGTTAAGACTTAAATCAATAAGTGAAACGGGTGATAAAATTTACATAATTCTTCAAATAGTTCTTCTTTCATTAAAATCCAATAATTCTCATTTTTTTCTTCCTGTCTGTTACAGTAAAATCTACATTTTAAAATGCTTGAAATATATTACCGTAATTTCATTTCATGGTCAAATAATTACCTTTTCTCCAGGAACAGCTTGATCTGGGGAAAATCCTGGATCTCCTTTGGGGCCCTAAATAAAATAGTTATAAAACAATTGGTAAAGCATAAGTTGCATATAATGTGTCATATATCTTCAGGTATTTATTACCAGATGTTATATACATTATATGGTGTTAAATAAAATAATTTTACATTGAGATAGGCATTGTTTATTTCATTTTTTAATGTATATTTTTCTTAGCCTTATTTTTAAATGATGAGAAGATTCCTAAAAATTCTCTAGACATAGTTGATTTTTTAATCTAATAAATTTAAAGTTATACACTATTGAAACATTTTTCTTGAAGGATCTAGGTAAAGATTTATTATCTTTTCCATTTTTGTGACATATTGAGTTGTTATTCCTATTTTCGCATTGAAAGACTATTACTTTAGTAAAAGAAAACTGCTTATAATAATCCTTAAAATTCTAAGATATCGTTCCAAGTTTAAATGTTTTCCAAAATATTACAATGCACATATATTACTTTTATTATTATGAAAAATAAACAGAAAAAAGATACCTCTAATCCACAAAAGTCTTTTTATTCTGTTATAAAATTGGATGCTTTTCATAGTCTGGGGATCTTTATCTTTTACATTTCAAGAAAAATATGACATTAGATTTCAGCTAAAGTTTTTTGGTACAATATTAAAATATTTTTATGATGCACAGTAGCAAAGTAACTCTTTTTCAAACTATTTGTCACATCTCAAAATATAGGGCCCACAATGGAGATTCTTTAAAATTCAAATTCTGATTTCATTACCATTCTCAACTAAGAATAAATAGTTCTCCTTTCCTAGATACTTCTAAATGCTATTTTCACTGGGAAATAGTCATGTCTTTTTACATATTCAGGGATGCTTTTAAATGACACTTAAGCTGACTGATGAAAGATGGAATACCAAAAGAAAAGTCCTGCGTGTCCCCCAGTAAGTACTTGCATTTTACAAATTAGAAATGAACCCTCACTGGCAAAAAGTCCTATATTCTATAGTCAAAGAAAAATTCTATATGGTGTAAGGAAAGGGGGTCCAGTTTTAGTGTTCTGCATGTGGCTAGCCAGTTATCCCAGCACCATTTATTGAATAGGGAATCCTTTCCCCGTTGCTCGTTTTTGTCAGGTTTTTCGAAGATCAAATAGTTGTAGGTGTGCAGTTCTTATTTCTGGGTTCTCTATTTTATTCCATTGGTCTATGTGTCTATGGATTAAAAACTTAAATGTAAAACCCAAAACTATAAAAACCATAGAAGACAACCTAGGCAACATGATTTAGTACAGGCACAGGCAACGATGTCATAATGAAGACACAAAAAGCAATTGCAAAAATAACAAAAATTGACAAATGAGATCTAATTAAACAAAAGAGCTTCACTGCACATAAAAAGAAACTATCAACAGTGTAAACACAACCTACAGAATGGGAGAACATTTCTGCAAACTCTGCATCCAACAAAGGTCAAATATCCAGCATGTATAGGAACTTAAACAAATTTACAAGAAAAAAACAAACAACCTCATTAAAAAGTGCACAAGGGATATGAAAAGAAACTTTTCAAAAGAGGACATACATGCAGCCAACAAGCATATGAAAAAAATCTCAACATTACTAATCATTAGAGAAATGCAATTCAAAACCACAATGAGATGCCATCTCACACTAGACAGAATGGCTATTTTGAAAAAGTCAAAAAATAACAGATGCTGATGAGGTTGTGGAGAAAAAGAAATGCTTATACACTATTGATGGGAGTTTAAATCAGTTCAACCATTGTGGAAGACAGTGTGGTGATTCCTCAAAGACCTAGAGACAGAAATACCATTCGATGTAGCAATCCCATTACTGGGTATATACCCAAAGGAATAGAAATCATTCTGTTATAAAGACAAATGCATGCATATGTTCATTGCAGCACTATTCACAATAGAAATGACATGAAATCAACCTAAATGCCCATCAGTGATAGACTGGATAAAGAAAGTGTGGTGCTGTACATACACCATGGAATACTATGCAGCCATAAAAAAGAATGAGATCATGTCCTTTATAGGGACATGGATGGAGCTAGAAATCATTATCCTTAGCATACTCCCACAGGAACAGAAAACCAAATACCACATGTTCTCGCTTGTAAGTGAGAGCTAAATGATGAGAACACATGGACATATAGAGGGGAACAACAGACACAGGGGCCTACTTGAGGGTGGGAGGAGGGAGAGGATCAGGAAAAATAACTAATGGGAACTAGGCTCAATACCTGGGTGATGAAATAATCTGAACAAGAAACCCCTAATGACACAATGTTACCTATGTAACAAACTTACACATGTACCCCTGAACTTAAAAAAAATTTTTTTTTCTTTAAGGAAAGTTTGTCTTCTAGGTTGACCTCTTCTTTATTGTAGCCATCACTGCTCGTTCCACTACTAAGGCTACAATTTTAGGTCACTGGTTACAAGGTTATGAAACCTAAGAAATGGCTTTGGTGATATTTTAATATTTAAAAACTTAAGTCATCATCAAAAAAGGTAATATACTTAGAATTTATAAGAGAAATTAGAGCTTATCTAGTAAAACATATTTTGTAGATAAAAGAAGCAATAAAGCCCAGAAAAGTTAATTGACTTGCTAAGGATTACTTAGGAAAATATTTGCAAACAAGGTCCATTTTCTTTCTTGTATCACAATGCCTATTAAAAATCTTATCTATTGGTTTTAATATATTTTAATCTTTTATTATAAAAGCTAACTAGTTGATTCAAGGCAATAATTTACAAGGAATTTTAAAATAAGAAATGATAGCCCTTAAAAAGTTTAAATATAATAAAACCCTTTGTGACCAATGTTTTTATTATAAATATGTTAAAAATTCTTATGTTTAGATCCTACTTGAATTTTCTATCATCTGTCAGTGTGGCAGGACAATGGCGTGAACCCATTGTTTACAATACAACAATAAGATTGAGAAAGAAAAAGTGAAGTAGGATAGAGGTAGGGACAAAAATGTCCGTGTAGAGTAGGTCCAGGAGAGAATGAAAGGAGAGGAAGTCTCCTAGCTAACAGAAACAACTTAGGAGTTTCTAAAAGGGAGCAGCATAAGGAGCAGAAAGGAGACATAAAAAGAAATGGGGAGTGTGGAGCTTTTATGCTCTATCCTGCCATACCACCTTCCCAGGAAATCAATGTGTTCACCCACAGAAGCTCTTCAAATCTTGTTCAAGAGTTTTTATAACCCAGTTTCCAGTCCCTCTCTCCCCTCCCTGGCACAGGGGGCAGGGAAAAGTAGGGCTGAAAGTTCCCATTCTCTAATCATTTGTGTGTCTTTGTGGTGACCAGACCCCAATGCTGAAAGCTATTTAGGGATCCCAGCCTGTGTCATCTTATTAGCATAAACTCTGATGTGGTCAGAAGGGGCTTGTTATGACTAACAAACGACACCCCTATCACTCAGAAAATTTCAAGTTTAGAAGCTCTATGCCAGGAACTAGGGACAAAAACCAAATATATATGTATTTTATTATACCACATCATTATTTTTTAAAATCCCCAATTATTTGCCTTATGTCTCTTTCATTAGGCTGTTCATGAGTTATATCCTTTACAATAAACTGGTAAAAGTAAGTAAAGTGTTTTCCCGAGTTCTGTAAACCGTTCTAGTAAAATATTGAATCTGAGAGGATGGGTCATGGGAACCCTTAGCTTGTAGTTTGCCCAAGCAGAAGTGTGCGTCGTGGTCTGGGCATCTCATTTTTGGCTGGCATCTGAGGTGTGGGAAGTCTTGTGGGACTCAGTCTTAAAAACTGTGGAGACTGATGCTAACTCTGGTAAGCTGTTGTCAGAACTGAATTGAACTGTTGGATATCCAACTGATGTCAGAGGATCTGAGGATCTTACAGATATAATCACCTAGCATCATCAAAAGATGATCAATTACTTTGCTGAAGTTATGTATCAGCTTAAGGAGCTTTGGGTACAAGACTATACTTTCTAGGTATAGAATCATATTGTCTGCAAACAAGGACAGTTTGACTCCCTCTCTTCCTATTTGGGTGCCCTTTGTTTCTTTCTCTTGCTTGATTGCTCTGGCCAGGACTTCCAATACTATGTCGAATAGAAGTGGTGAGAGAGGCATCCTTGTCGTATGCTGGTTTTCAAGGGTAATGCTTCCAGCTTTTGCCCATCCAGCATAATGTTAGCTGTGCATTTGTCATAGATGATTCTTATTATTTTGAGGTATGTTTCTTCAATGCCAGGTTTATTGAGAGTTTTTAACATGAAGGGGTGTTGAATTTTATTAAAAGCCTTTTCTGCATCTATTGAGATAATCATGTGGTTTTTGTCTTTAGTTCTGTTTATGCGATGAATCACATATTGCTTTGCATATGTTGAAATAACCTTGCATGGCAAAGATAAAGTCTGCTTGATCATAGTGGATAAGCTTTCCAATGTGCTGGGGGATTCAGTTTGCAAGCATTTTGTTGAGAATTTTTGCATCAATGTTCATCAAGGATGTTGGCATACAGTTTTCTTTTCTTGTTGTACCTCTGCCAGGTTTTAGTTTATGATGCTGGCCTCATTTAATGAGTTAGAAAGGAGTCTCTCCTCTTCAATTTTTTGGAATAGTTTCGGTAGGAATGGTACCAGCTTTTTTTTTTTTTTTTTTTTTTTTTTTTTTTTTTTTTTTTTTGTACATCTAGTAGAATTTGACTATGAATCTATCTGGTCCTGGGCTTTTTTTTGTTTGGTAGGCTATTTATTACTGATTCAATTTTGGTGCTCATTTTTGGTCTGTTCAGGAATGCAATTTCTTCTGTGTTCATTCTTGGGAAGGTGTGTGTGCCCAGGAACTTACCATTTCTTCTAAATGTTCTAGTTTTTGTGCATAGAGGTGTTTATAATATTCTCTGATGGTTACTTGTATTCTGTGGGGTCAGTGGTAATATCCCCTCTGTTTTTTCTAATTGTGTTTATCTGAATCTTTTCTCTTTTCTCTTTTATTAGTCTAGCTAGCAGTCTATCTATTTT